GATACTGTTAACTACCCCCTCCTTCTGGATTTTTTCTCTTCCCTGGGTTTTTAGGGACACTGCTCTCTCCTGATTCTTCTACATGCGTGACCAATCTTTCAGTCTCCTTTGCAGAATTATAATTTCTTTCCTGACTCGGTGTATGGATATACTCAGTCCTAGGATTGCCCTCTCTTTTCTCTCTCTTCCAGATCTCATGATTACAAACCCAGCCCTCATTTCTCTACTACGCTCCAGTCCTACTTCTCCAACTGCCTTTTTCTAGACACCTCTCCCTGAAATGTCCCATATACCTCCAACTTAATATACCCAAAACTGAACTCACTATTTCCACCCAAAAAAGCCTGCCCCCCCTCCCCTAACTCCCCGATTTTTATCGAGAACGCCCCTGTTCTTTTTCTCACCCAGGGTAACAACCTCAGTCATCCTTGACTTTTCACTCTTCTTGCCCCTCGTATCCAAGTTGACAGTTCCTGCTGAATCTACTTCCACCACATCTCTTATCCCTGTTCTCTGCTCCTCATTCCTCCCAAAACCACCAGAATTCAGGTCACCTCTCACCTGGTAGAGTACTGAAATAGCCTCCTAGTTAGCCTCTGGATAGCCAACCTATTCCCTCTCCAAGCCATGTTCCACATGACATCAGTAAAACCCAGATCTGACGACGTCATTCTCCAGCTTAAAAAGCTTCAGTGGCTTTCTTTTGTGTCTGGGATAAAATACAAACTGCTCTATTCAGCATTTAATGTCCTTCCTAATCTGGTTCCAACCTATGGTTTCCAGCTAAGTCTGTATCAGTCCCCTTCTTGAGCTCCAGTCCCCACCCCTTCTCCCTTCTCTCTCCAATGCTCAGCTCAGCTTAGACCCCCCCCAATTCCCAGTATTGTCAGTGCACCTCTCTTACTGCAATTACTTTGTACATACTTTATACTGACATATTTGCCCCAAATCTCTTCTCATTTCAGCCCTTCCCTATTTAGAATTGCCAGAGGGATGTGCCTTTAGGCAAGTTCAACCAGTCACTCAGTATTATTCCACAAATTCCAATGGCTCCTTATTTTCTCTAGGGTCAAAAATAAACCCCCTTGTTTAGCTCTTAAACCCTAAAAGGTCTGATCCAACCAACCTCACTTTCTGTCTGATCCTCCCCTTGCATTCCATCTCTGCTCTCTGCCTGTGTCTTGCATTGAGAGCTCTGTCTGCCTCATTCCTGGAATATACTCCCAACTCCCCTCTGCTTCAAGCAGAACAAAGTCAGGAATGAGATGGCTGGGTTCTTGGTAACCTTCACACCAAGGCAGCTACAGAACCCCTTAGACATGTTTAATTGGATGACAGAAGGAATAGAGGACTTCAGAAAAGGGAGCAAGGGCAGAGTCTAAAGCAGAAGCAGGCCTGACATAAGAGAGAACTGGAACCACTAACAGTACTATAGAATATTGTCTTTTGGGTTAAGTCCTTCCCCTGTTGTCCCTACCTCACTGTTAGTCTGATGTCCTTTGTGCAAAAGTTACCTATCAATTGATTTTACTTTATATTGTGCACCGTAACCTTGAAGACATCTAATTCGATGATCTTTTATGACTCCTATGTACTCAGATCACTACTCTGTCAGATAATGAATGACCTTTGCAACCTGGAGTGTTTATGACAAAGTGTTTCAAATCTTCTAAATGTAGAGGAGTTTTCATTCTGCCCTATAAGAGAAAACTCTTTAGCACTGTAGAGATTTTCCTCTTAGCTACTCTTCTCCAAAATCATCCTTACTCTTCTATTTCTAAATAGTATTTTCTTCCTTCTAGGAAGCTTGGAAAATTCTGTCTTTAAATATTAGATAAGTGTTCTCTAGGGATATTTCCTGAATTAGAACACATGAGCCTCTGTTAAATTCACAATGAAACTGTCTAGGCAGGAGTGGTTGGGAAGGAAATCAGACTTTCAGAAGACAACAAGGAAGAGAATTGAGAGGAGATGGGGCCGTCACCAACCTTCCACTCCCAAGGTTGAAATCTGAGGGCAGGAAGGAAATATGACAGGTTTTCCCTGCCCTCCTCTTCTGAGGAAGGAAACAAAGAACACCAGAAAGCAGATAGCAGGGAGAACAGATTTTTCTTGTTTACTTCCTGTTTCGGCCAACCAGTGCTGAGCGGAATGGGAGGAAAGAAGAGGGAACAAAGGCTTTCTAGCTTCTTCCTTTTTGAAGTCTATCTAACCACCAAGCTCCTTGAAGGCAAGGACTACTTTGGTATAGTCTATCTCCAGTGCCTAGCATGGCACCTGGCACATCGTACATGCTTTGTTGAATAACTAACGTGGAAATATTTTTAATATGATTGTACATGTGTAGCCTACATCAGATTGCTTGTCCTCTTGGGAAGTGAGGGAAGAAAAAAATCTGGAACTCAAGTGAATGTTGAAAACTAAAGAATAAATAAATAATATATTTTTTTAAAAAATAATATACTGAATGTACCAAAAAAAAAAAAGTTTGCTGAATTGAATCACATTGCAGTAAGATCTGCACAGAACAGAGACAGAAAGAGAAGAGAGTTCTAGTAGGGTGGTAGCTTTGTGAGTGGAAAAGATGGGACAGCTATACGGAGACCCAGGTGGACTCTATCTCCATGACATCTCTCACATCTGCCTAATGCACTCCTAATTTACAACCACAGCCACAGCCACAGCCACAAGCCTAGTTCAGCTCCTACCCCTTCCTTACCAGGGCTGCGGCAACAGTTGTCCAATCTGCTCCCCCTACTTCCATCCTCCACACAGCCACCAAAGCAGTTTTCCTAATGCACAAATTTCCTAGTAGATCACGTTATCTTCATTCCTAATCCCCCAAATCAATAAACTTCAGTGACTCCCTATTACCTCTAGAATCAAAAATAAAGTACTTCATTTGGCATTTACATCTCTACCTGATCTATATGTTCTCACATATGACTCCCTCCAACATACTCTGCACTCTACCCATAGTGGCCAGCCCGCCCTTACCCACACATAAGACCCTTCAGTCCTTCACTCCATGCTTTGACTCAGGTTGTCCCCCCCCCCTTACCTCTGCCTCTTGGAATCCCTGGTTTTCCTTAAGATCAGGCTCAAGTATTACCTTCTATGTGAAGCCTTTCCTGATTTCCCCATCTGCAGTATATTCCTTCCCAAAAGTAACTCGTTCTTTTGTATACATTCATGCATATATGGTTGTCTTTTCTATTATAATGAAATTTCCTTAATGGAAAAAATGGTTTTTACATCTGTCTTACCAAAACTCCAGCATCTGGAATGGTGCCTGGCATATAGTTCTTAATTAATTATTGCAGTTGACATTTTTAAAATAAGATACTAAGATGCTAACTGTCTGAATATCTCAAAAGTCCATCTATACCGGTGAAATTTCATATTAATTATTTATTTTTTCTTTGAATTCAGTCACAAGTTTTATAAAGGTAAAAGAAAAACATTAAAATCATATTCTAGCCAGAACTCATACATGTCAAACTGTTCTATCAGCATTTTAAATCAACTAAAATACAATCTAAGCAAATTAGATAAACAGTACAGTATTACTTAATAACTATTAAACTTAAAATTTTACTTTATTTTCAGTTGTATTAAAAACATTTAGATTACAAAAATATCTGCCCCCTTTAGTTTTGCAGTTATAGATAAGTGAAAATATTATACTTTTATGGTAAATTTAGAGCTTATAAACCAATGAGGTAAACATTTCAAAAATAATTTTAAATTTAAAAATAATTAAAATTGGGTTTCCATTTATCTAAAATATGTCATAGTCAATGGCATAAAACGAAGTTGCCTAGGAAAAGTCTTAGATCATAATCCCCTCTATTCTATGAAGTTATCAGTGGAACAAAACCTCACACTTTTGTTCTACTGAACTGTACATTCCATAAAGATAGGAAGCTGTGTTCCCTACAGTACTGTACATGGTACAGTATCCAAGTCCCATGGATAGGCCAAAACTAAGCAATTCACTGCTGGCAATGCTGTGTATGTGACTGTTCTGTGTTAAAAATCAAGAGTAAGAACTCTGAAATATACTAGTGAGGTAGCAATGGATAAGTCACTTAACCTCTTAACCTCTCAGTGATCCTAGGCAACTCATAAATTATATATTAAGTGTAAGTTGTCTGTCTTTACAAAAGAGAATTTATACAAAAGAAATTTTTTATATTGACTGTCTGCACCCAAAAAAATGAAAAAATATTCAAGTCTGAACTACAGAAAGCACTATTACAAAATCATGCTGGAAAATGAGATGAAATCCATTTGGGCAATGGCATACAAGCCAGGCTAAGGATTATGGAGTTTATCCTACAGGCAACAGGGAACTGCTCAAGTTTTTAAATAGGGAAACGAAGCAACATACATGGTCAGGCCAATGAATTTGGAAAACTGGACAATTTAGTGAAGGATACGTTAAAATGGGTGACCTCATTTAGGAGGCTACCAAAAAAATCTAGGAGAGAAGTAATGAGGGCCTGAATTAGGATTGTGGCCATGTGAAAGGTACCATGGACATACTGTTTACAAGAATGTATTAAATTGTTTCTGGAATGATCATAAGTAACTTATCTCATAGGTTTTACCTGTATCAATCATCAGGCTTGGATCATAATTATGAGACAATAATATTTTTTTAAGTTAAGGATATGCACTAATACCAAAACTCAGAACCATCCAGGATCAAGATTAAAATAGACCATAACACCAAAGCTCCTTTTTTCACTGCCTTTTATTTTGCCATGTACATACACTATTAGACCAAGAAAAAAAGATAAGACAATGAATCAAAGTCATAACTAAACCTTTGTGATCTGGCAAAGATCTATAATAGCCTCATCTTTGATGAGAAAAACACAGTACATACTGTTAGTTTTTAATAATTAGTAAACTAAGTATTTAATAATTAATAAATTAAGGTACTATTTATAGGTTGGGGTTTGGTTTTTTTTGTACGAACTTTAGAAACTTACCTGAATGGAGTTGAACTTTCCCAATAACACCTTCCACCAGCCCCAAACAAATGGGATTCCAGGCCAAAAGAAGGTCAGTGGCTAAAATAAAATAAAAAAGCATTTATTTTAAAATCCACTAACATGAGAAAATGTAGTAAAATGCCTAAAGCAGTATATTTTAAAAACATTAAAATGGCTAACAAAAGTGATTGAGTATGAAACATGATCCAAACTAAAAGCTCTGCCAAGGGTCTAGTTAGTTACTATAATAACGAAAAGGGAAAGGCTTAGCATTTTCTCCCCACATTTCTGGATGAATAGATCTCATTATAATCTTGAATATTTGAAGAATTTGCAGTTTTTCAAGAGTGGGTACATGGTCCTTCCTCTGGTATAGAAGGCTATTATTAATAGACTGTCTTCTAGAATTGCTGAATTCCTGTCACCTAAAAAAGCTGAGTCATTAATATCATCCATTATCATCAAGGAGAAAGGGGGTGGATGAAACAGGGATTATATTACATGACTACAAAAGGTCATACTAGATTGGTCACCATTCAGGGAAAATCCTGAGAGTACAATGATAAAGCAGAAAAGGCCTAGGATTTGGAGTCATAAAACCTAGGTTGAAATTTAAGTCACAACTTCTCTGGATTAGTATTCTCTATTCTATAATATATTATAATATAATTATATAATACAAATATCATACATTATACATAATTATAGTGTGTATATGATGTATAATTCTACAGTAGGATTAAACTAAATGACCTCTGAAGTCCCTTCCAGATCTTAATCTTTTCTCTGAAATGAAAATATGGTAGGCTACTGCTGTGGTGACACTATTAAATGAACTACATTTTGGTATACCTACTTTGACACAGTTCTTTTTCTTTTTTAATTTTTTGGCAATTGGGGTTGAGAGACTTGCCCAGGGTCACACAGCTAGAAAGTGGTCAAGTGTTTGGTCTGAGCCCAGATTTGAACTCAGGTCCTCCTGACTTCAGGGCCAGTGCTCTATCCACTGCATCACCTAGCTGCCCCTTGGCATATCTACTTTGAAGAGGCCAAGACGGCAAAAATTTGGCATTTAGAAATCATAAATAGAAATAAACAGTCATGGTAGCATATTTTTAGAAGGAAAACTTTTTTTTCTGAAATTCTACTTAAAATGTTTAAAGGACATGAATTTAACAACTAATTGAGTTAATAAGATTCTAAACACTGTAGTTTAACCTTCCTACTTATGTGAAGTCTACTATCTCTACATACTTATTGGAATGGGAGTAAGGGAACGAATAACCTCACTACAAGCAATATGAGTTTTCCAGGTAAAAGGTGGTATATGTCACGTCAATAAGCATTTATTAAGTGCCACTATGTGCCAGGCACTGTGCTAAACACTGGGAATACCATACTAAGAAAAGCAAATATAGTCCCTTCTTTCAAGAATCTCCTAGTCTAATGGAGGTGACAACATGCAAATGACTATGTACAAACAAGATATCTACAAAATAAATTAGAGATAATCTCAGAGGGAAGGCAGTAGCATAAGGGGGATTGGGAAAGGATCCTTACAGAAGGCAGAATTTTAGCTGAGACATGAAAGCCAAGGAAGCCAGAAGGTAGAAATGAAGTAGGAGAGAATTCCCACCATGCACAGAGGACAGCCAAGGAGTTCAAGATGTTCAAAATGCAATTTGGTGATAGGAGTTTGAGGGTTACATAGTCTTATAAAACTACTGAAAGGAACTTGTACTAATACTAAAAATAGTCATTATAAGTAAAATATATTAATAATTAGTAAATTAAGGTATTGTTTATAGTTTTACTGTAAGAAATTTGTTAGCTTAACACTGTTTGTCTAGCCAAAGCCTGCCATTAATTTAAATATTCAGTTAAGCTTGGTAAGAAAAAGGTAAAATTCATACATACTTGCAAAACTCAACAAAAATTTGTAAAACTCACAATCCCTTATCAAGAAGTAGTGCTGGGGGCAGCTAGGTGGCACAGTGGATAGAGCATCAGCCCTGGAGTCAGGAGAACCTGAGTTCAAATCCAGTCTCAGACCACACACTTGACACTAGCTGTGTGACCCTGGGCAAGTCACTTAACCCCAATTGCCTCACAAAAAAAAAAAAAGTAGTGCTGATACCATAAAACTAAAGAGACCTTAAACAACAAAAGAAATGTAATTATGACCTGGAAACAGGGAAAATAATGGCGAAAAAGTGAGAAAGGAGAACCTGCAATCCCAGACCTCAAAATTATGCTACAAAGCAATAATTGTAAAAATTATTTGGTACCACTTAAAAACAGAAAGGCTTACGAGTGGAAAATATTAGGTACAAAACATATGGAAGCAAACGAACACAGTAAAAAAGTGTTTGATAAAACCCAAAGCCTCTGAGGCAGGGGGTTACCACTACTATGGCAAAGACTTACTATCTGAAAAAAGCTACTGGAAAAACTAATAAGCTATTAGGCTTAGATCAACATTTCACATGTTATACCAAAATAAACTCCAAACAGAAACAAAACTTAACACATAAAAGGTCACATGTAAATAAATTAGAAGAACAAAAAAAAATTACCTTCTGCATCTATGGACAGAGAAAGAATAAATGATGAAACAAGGGATAGAAAGAATCATAGAAGATAAAACGGACAGTTTTAATTACATAAATTGAAAAGTATTTGCACAAAGTCAAGCAAGGTAAAGGAACTGATTCAACTATATAAGAACAAAAGCCATTCCCCAAGGACAACTGGTCAAAGCATGTGAACAGGCAGTTCTCAAAAAAAGAAATCCAAATTATCAAGAGCCACATTTAAAAAAAAAAATGCTCCAAATCACTAATGATTGGGAAATCCAAATTAAAGTAACAGATTCTGCCCCCAAATTACCAGATTGACAAAGATGATCCCCCAAAAATGGCAACTGGTTTAAGAGCAGGGGAGAAAAGAGATAGATTGATACACTGTTGGTGGAACTGTGAACTGGTCCAGCTATTCTGGAAAGCAATTTAAAACTATGCTTCAAAAGTTATTAAAATGTATATACCTTTTACCCTATGATACCCCAAAAAAATTAAAGAGAGAAAAGTACACATATGTACAAATGTTATAGAAAATTGTTATAGAAAGAACTAGAGAAAAAAAATAAATGGGGGCAGCCAGGTGGCGCAGTGGATAGAGCACCGGACCTGGAGTCAAGAGGATCTGAGTTCAAATCCGACCTCAGACACATAACACTTACTAGCTGTGTGACCCTGGGCAAGTCACTTAACCCCATTGCCTAGCCAAAAAAAAAAAAAAGAAAGAAAAAGAAAGAAAGAACTAGAAATTAAGGGAATGTCCATTAATTGGGGAATGGCTGAACAAATTACACATAAATGTAGTAGAATACAATTGTGCTGTAAAAAATGATGAAAGGGATGGTTTCAGAGAAACTTGAGTGAAGTGAGCAAAACTGAACCAATTTATACTAAGACAGTAACAATGTAAAAAAACAATTTTACATACATTATGTAAGAAGAATGTTCATGAATTATGAAGAATGCAATAACCAACCACAATTCTAGAACTGATTTGTAAAGCATTAGCCTCCTGAGAGAGGTGACAGACTCACAGCACAAAATAAGACTTTTTTTTAACAATGTGGAAATTAATTTTGCTTGATTATGCATATTTGATAAGGGCTTTTCTCTCTTTTTTAAGGTGGGACAGGGATGAAGTAGCTATAGGCTTACCAAAAAAGGAAAGAAACAAGAAAGAAAAGGAGGTCACTGAAGAATTTTTTTTAAAGCAAAACAGACAAGTAAGACTACTTATAAGGAAAAACAAGCTCTACATAAGAGATTTGCAGTTTCATGAACAATGTTCTCTTTTTCTAATCATTTTGTATGTGGAAATGTTCATTTTATTTGGTATTTACTAAGTCTAGAATAAAATCATAGACTTCCTTTCCATGCTATTAAGTAAACTTCCTTTTGTTACATGTTTGATGGTAAGTCAATGTCTCATCTCATTCTGATCCCAAATGAAAACAACTACACCAGACTAAGTCAGGCCTGGACCAGAACACATATGTGGTTTGTAATCTACGTTGTCAGAGGTAATCCTAAGTCAATGAACTCACACATCCTTCAATGTATTGGAGTAACAGTGAATTAAGAATTATTTTTTCCAATTTATTTCAGTTATTGCCAAAAGGGAGAAATATTTGGAGAGTCTGTTGTTTTGGAAATTTCAACTAACTCTGCATGGAAAGATCATATTCAACATAAATAACTTACATGCTTGAATTCTAATAGCTTGACTCTATTCAACTCAGACATTTATTAAGCATCTATGACATGCTAAACATTATACAACACCCAAGTGATATATAAATGAAAAGTGACATAGTGCCCCCTCTCAAGAGGCTTACTTACATCTGCAGGAAGAATAAAACAGGCATACAAATTAAGCAAATACAAAGTATGCACACAGTACTACAAAGTAACACAAAAGAGAGAATATGCTTATAACACAGTAACAGTTTCTGGTCTGGGAGAAAGAACAGTCATTTTAACAATATTCACAAGCCAAATCTGTGTAAGTGTATCCATTAATTTAAGGTGCAAATTATTCAATTCAGACCATTGAGTAAGTGCCTTGTACATGGTATGCTCTTCATAAATGTTTGATTGGATTCAAATGTAAACAAAAATCCAATGTTTCTGAGTTTTTACCCCTTCATTCCACCTACCAAAAATAATTGCACCAAATAGACCGCAGAGAAAATTCAACTAAACAACTACTATAGAGAAAATTCACTAAACAAAAGCAATAGTGTTATGACAAATGCAAAGGTCTTGAATTACTATTAAAATAAAATTTCATTATGGAAAACAAATTATTCAATCTATATAGAATTTGTGTCACGGCCATTGTCCTACATTCTCCAGCAGCTGAGGTCTCCGGAAATCATTACAAAATTTTCATGGCAAATAATTTGGCAAAGAAACATGACACTGAAGAACATTATTTTAAAAAAAAAAAGAAAAGATGGCTTTCTGTTTCAGGGAGCAGCTTGGTATGATTGAAAGTAC